CAAAGGCACTTTGCTCCGCCCACCTATAAACCGTTTCTTAGTCCCCTTCACCCTGGAATGCTTTCAACAGTTTCTAACTCCCCCCCTCTGTTAGTTGGTTGACACTACATTATAACTCTAACACCGTTCACACATTTATACTGTATTTGGGGTGAAATCCTTTAGTCATTATTCTTAAAATACAAATTAATCTATCAACAACACAGAATATACACAATATACACATCAACATATACGAGTCCCCTGAGTCAGGGCGTGACAGAATGTTCCTAAATTCAAGGAAAACAGGAAAACACCGTTCTACAAAGCACACCGCAAATGCAAGTGGTTTCATATGAGCGATGAAAATATCCTTTAGAAAGATGGAAGATCTAAAGAAGCAACAACTAGCATGGGTTGTTAATATGACTAGGATTGTGTCTTTGGCTGCTGAACAATGAAAGGAAGTTGAGAACATGAGAGAAATGGCCCTACTGGTTTCAATGGCATATGAGGAAATGTTTAGAAAAGAATCCCCTTAACATTCCTGTGGTCGGCATGCCTCAAATTGACAAAACAATGTCCAGGTTTCAAATAATTTTGTTTATGGTTAAATAGTAAAAAAATGTTGACTGCCTCCACTCAGATTGCAAGGTGGGTGATGTTATGGTGAGCTACAGGCACTGGCCTTTCTCTCCTATCTGAATGAACAGTGCCACCAGTATGACAGAATCAAGCCTTTAGACGTTAATATTGATTATACTACATTATATTTGTCATACATGACTGGAGTTTAGCATATACAATACCAGTCAAAAGTTTGGACACACCTACTCATTCAAGGGTTTTTCTTAATTTTTTACAATTTTATACATTGTAGAATAATAGTGAAGAAATCAAAACTATGGAATCATGTAGTAACCAAAAAAGTGTTAAACAAATCAAAATATATTTAATATTTGAGATTCTTCAAAGTAGCCACCCTTTGCCTTGATGACAGCTTTGCACACTCTTGGCATTCTCTCAACCAGCTTCATGAGGTAGTCACCTGGAATGCATTTCAATTAACAGGTGTGCCTTGATAAAAGTTAATTTGTGGAATTTATTTCCTTCTTAATGTGTTTGAGCCAATCAGTTGTGTTGTGACAAGGTGTGTGTGTGTGTGTGTGTGTGTGGTCCATATTATGGCAAGAACAGCTCAAATAAGCAAAGTGAAACGACAGTCCATCATTACTTTAAGACATGAAAGTCAGTCAATACCGCCACAGGAATGGAAGACCCAGAGTTACCTTGTCAGCGTCTGGGTGCAGTGGGGAAACGGAATCAGGCGCAGGACACAGAACTGAGAATTAATGGCTTTACTCGACTCCAAGTAAATATAGCAAACCCTCCACGCAGGGAAGAGCAAAAACAACAGCTCAACAGACGACGTAACAAGAACAATCACGCACACACTCAGGAGGGAAAACAGAGGTAATATAGGGAAACTAATAAGCCTAATGGGTAACAGGTGTGAACAATACAGACAGAACTAGTGAGACACAGAAACATCGATCGGTGGCAGCTAGTACTCCGGTGACGACGACCGCCGAAGCCTGCCCGAACGAGGAGGAGGGGCAGCCTCGGCCGTATCCGTGACATACCTCTTCTGCAGAGGATAAGTTCATTAGAGTTACCAGCCTCAGAAATTACAGCCCAAATAAATGCTTCAGAGTTCAAGTAACAGACACATCTCAACATCAACTGTTCAGAGGAGACTGTGTGAATCAGGCCTTCATGGTCGAATTGCTGCAAAGAAACCACTACTAAAGGTCACCAATAAGAAGAAGAGACTTGCTTGGGCCAAGAAACACGTGCAATGGACATTAGACCGGTGGAAATGTGTCCTTTGGTCTGGAGTCCAAATTTGAGATTTTTGGTTCCAACCGCCGTGTCTTTGTGAGTCGCGGTGTGGGTGAACGGATGATCTCCGCATGGGTATTTCCCAGCGTAAAGCATGGAGGAGGAGGTGTTATGGTGTGGAGGTGCTTTGCTGGTGACAGTGTCAGTGATTTATTTAGAATTCAAGGCACACTTAACCAGCTTGGCTACCACAGCATTCTGCAGCGATACGCCATCCCATCTGGTTTGCGCTTAGTGGGACTATAATTTGTTTTTCAACAGGACAATGTCCCAACACACCTCCAAGCTGTGTAAGGGCTATTTCGTCAAATAATCCTTTATTTTCAGCAATTACAGCCTTGCAGACCTTTGGCATTCTAGTTGTCAATTTGTTGAGGTCATCTGAAGAGATTTCACCCCATGCTTCCTGAAGCACCTCCCACAAGTTGGATTGGCTTGATGGGCAGTTCTTACGTACCATACGGTCAAGCTGCTCCCACAACAGCTCAATAGGGTTGAGATCCGGTGACTGTGTTGGCCACTCCATTATAGACAGAATACCAGCTGACTGCTTCTTCCCTAAATAGTTATTGCATAGTTTGGAGCTGTGCTTTGGGTCATTGTCCTGTTGTAGGAGGAAATTTGCTCCAATCAAGTGCCGTCCACAGGGTATGGCGTTGCAAAATGGAGTGATAGCCTTCCTTCTTCAAGATCCCTTTTACCCTGTACAAATCTCCCACTTTACCACCACCAAAGCACCCCCAGACCATCACATTGCCTCAACCATGCTTGACAGATGGCATCAAGCACTCCTCCAGCATCTTTTCATTTGGTCTGCGTCTCACAAATGTTATTCTTTGTGATCCGAACACCTCAAACTTCGATTTGTCTGTCCATATCACTTTTTCCCAATCTTCCTCTGTCCAGTGTCTGTGTTCTTTTGCCCATCCTTAATCTTTTCTTTTTATTGGCCAGTCTGAGATATGGCTTTTTCTTTTCAACTCTGCCTAGAAGGTCAGCATCCCGGAGTCGCCTCTTTACTGTTGACGTTGAGACTGGTGTTTTGTGGGTACTATTTAATGAAGCTGCCAGTTGAAGACCTGTGAGGCGTCTGTTTCTCAAACTAGACACTCAGATGTATTTGTCATCTTGCTCAGTTGTGCACTGGGGTCTACCACTCCTCTTTCTATTCTGGTTAGAGCCAGTTTGCGCGGTTCTGTGAAGGGAGTAGTGCACAGCGTTGTACGAGATCTTCAGTTTCTTGGCAATTTCTCGCATGGAATAGCCTTCCTTTCTCAGAACAAGGATAGACTGATGAGTTTCAGAAGAAAGTTATTTGTTTCTGGCCATTTTGAGCCTGTAATCGAACCCACAATTGCTGATGCTCCAGATACTCAACTAATCTCAAGAATGCCAGGTTTATTGCTTCTTTAATCAGCACAACAGTTTTCAGCTGTGCTATCATAATTGCAAAAGGGTTTTCTTATGATCAATTAGCCTTTTAAAATGATGAACTTGGATTGGCAAACACAACATGCCATTGGAACACAGGACTGATGGTTGCTGATAATGGGCCTCTGTACGCCTATGTAGATATTCCATTAAGAATTAGCCGTTTCCAGCTACAATATCCATTTACAACATTAAGAATGTCTATACTGTATTTCTGATCAATTTGATGTTATTTTAATGGCAAAACAATTGCTTTTCTTTTGAAAACAAGGACATTTCGAAGTGACCCCAAACTTTTGAACGGTAGTGTATATATTTACCATACACTCTCATCCAAAGTGACTTTCAGTCATGCCTGCATAGATTTTTACATATAGGTGGTCTCGGGAATCGAACCCACTATCCTGGCATTACAAGCACCATACTCTACCAACTGAGCTACAGAAGATCATGCATTCAGGCCTCTAAATTGCTAAGATTTTGGTTGCATAGGCCTATGCTTGTTAATATTTTGTAGCCCCAGTGCGCTTAGAAAAATACTCACCCAGATATTACATTGAATGACAAAATTCTAGTTGTTCCTATGGGTTTGGGAGCAGAGTTGCTACATTTGTATCTTTGTTTGATGTCCGGTGCGACCAGGCTGCTGTTACATTTGTGTCATTATCAGAGTGGCATGCATCGCGGCAAAGTCTGTGTCATTTCACGTCACCTGTGAAATTGAAGAGGAAATTCAGCAACTCTTGGAGGACAGTGGAAGTTGATAAATGTTTTTCTATATTCTTAAAGGTAAAACCAACTCGTTAGTCTTCGTCTGGATTTTACAAATGAAAAATTTACAGAGGCTTTTATACATTTTAAAATTACATTCAGCTTGGCAATTGGTCAGATTTTTGCAAGTCATTTACCAATTAAATCATTTTTTGACTTGCATTTGCATTCTGATTGGTTCTTGACCACATCAAATCAAATTGTATTTGTCACATGCGCCGAATACAACAGGTGTAGACCTTACCGTGAAATGCTTACTTACAAGCCCTTAACCAACAATGCAGTTTTAAGAAAATAGAGTTAAGAAAATATTTACTAAATAAACTAAAGTTACAATCAAATTACAATAATGAGGCTATTTACAGGTGGTACCGAGTCAATTTGCGGGGGTACAGGTTATTCGAGGGAATTTGTACATGTAGGTGGGGGTAAAGTGACTATGCATAGATAATAAACAGTGAGTAGCAGCATTGTAAAAACAAGGGGGGGGGGGGGGTCAATGCAAATAGTCCAGGTGGCCATTTGATTAATTGTTCAGCAGTCTTATGGCTTGGGGGTAGAAGCTGTTAAGAAATATATAAAATCCTTTTTCATTTCGCCGTCTGCTATTTTAAATCCAGATAAAGCATGGGCGAAATTAGTTTTTACTGTTAACAATAGGCTAAAGAATCCCATTTATCAGCCTCCACGAGTTGCTGAATTTCCTCTTCACTTCAGTTTGCTCCTCAATTCATGCACCTTGCTCAGAGTAGAGCGAGGTAGCGGCAGTGTCCACTTCCCTTTACACCTCACATGTGAGAACCATGAGCACACCGGGCAAGTCTGATTAGGCTGGTTAACTACTCAAAATAAAAGTCCTACACGTGCGCCATATGTGGACAAAAAATGTATAACTTGTGGGGGTCATTTATTTTGACATGAGGTAAGCAGAGAGGAAGTGGGTCTATAACAGACCCACGTTAATAATACGATCCTTCAGATATTTTGTCTCAAATTCCCCCTGCCACTCCTTGACAAGAGTCACTAGAGACTCAAAGCCACGAGGTTAGAACACATTTCATACTTTGCTTGCTGTGCTTGCTAGGCGGTGTAATAAAGGTTAAAAATATCTATATAATGACCAACCGTCCTGCCCACCGGCACAGTAAGTTGAAATGGAATTGTATTTAACTTCTGGCTTCCCATTGACTGTTTTTGTTCAACCCAATACACTTGAAAGCAACGCTAGTGTATGTAAATACACCTGTATTGCTAAAAGCACCTATATGTGTGTGTATGTGTGTGTGTGTGTGTGTATTTTGAGGACAGGCAGGGATAAAGACAAGCCCAGAACAAATTGTTTTTGGCCCTGGGGCTCTTTCTCCTGCCAGATGAAAACAACACCAGGGAACACAGTTACTGTACACCCCCTCCTTCACTACTACACCACTCAACCCCGCAGACAGAAGAGGAGGGGTGAGAGAACAGATGAGTGTGTTTCTGCACCAGTAGAGATCACATTAAAGAGGCACAATGGAGTCGAAGAGTGTGTATGGTTCAGGTTTACACCTTAACCACAGCCTTCGGAATGTGTGTGTGTGTGCATGTATGTGCATGCGTAATTACTCAGCCTAAGGAAGTGTTTGTGTCTAAATGTTAGAGAGCTTCCACAAAATGTCCGATTAGTCACCTCCTCCTCACATGGTCTGATGATGTCATGTTTTTGTTTTGAAGATATGGGAAGATTGTGTCCACGAAGGCAATCCTGGACAAAACCACCAACAAGTGCAAAGGTGAGAGTTCAGAGTTCAACAGGTTGTTTGGTTCATGACACAGATGCCACTAACATTTAACCTGGAAAGATCATAGTGTTGTGTTGTTGACTGTGTCTCCATAAACAAGATCATGGACTTATGGACTCCAAAACTCGATCACAGCTGCATTGTACAATATTAGACTTTATTAGGCTATAAGATAGAATTTTAGATTATTAGTCTGGTTGCAGGTTTATTGCTACACTGTATAAATTCATGAAGCCACATCTGCAGAGTGGCGTTGGTTAGACATGTTGAGGAAGCACACGTCGTAGAAGGCCATAAATGTGTCATATTGGGCCAGACTGCTGGGCCTTTGTGGCATGTGCTAAGTGTTTTGTAATTGCACTGAATGTCTTTAGACTTCAAGCACCTATAGTCTATCTAACAACCATTCTGAATGCCACATTCACTCATCAATCATGAAATGATGTACACATTCATGACTGTAAGGAAATGTGTGTGTATATGTGTTGTGTAGGCTATGGCTTCGTGGACTTCGACAGTCCGGCAGCAGCCCAGAAAGCGGTGAGCTCCCTGAAGTCCAGTGGGGTCCAGGCTCAGATGGCCAAGGTAAGACTAATTTAAATCAACTCCACACACACTTCATATTCACAGTAACACATGATATATTATAAACTTTTGTATTATGAGTTCATTCACATCTACTTCAATGTGACTCTTTACAATTCCGCTAGACTCCTTACTGCCTCACTTTCTTTATTTTATTGCCAAATGTTCAGAGAAACTCGACTTTGAAGGAATTTCTCTCAGATTAGATGCTGGATCTCCTTCTTTGATTTGATGGTGAATTGACAGCTAGTCCAGCCAAGTTGGTGTCTATATTCAACCACAAAAAGCATAGACATTCCTATAACGCAGTATACATGCAAACACACTCCCTCCCACATTCTCAGTGGTATCAAATGTGAGCTGTTTTACTGTATGTTGTTATGGCCTGATTGGCGTTAAGTGCCCTCTTGGCACTGTCTCAAGACAAACTGCCATAGGTTATGGAGAGGTGTGTTTACCTTCGTTAGCTGGCAGTTGACTGGCAGGCAGAGAGGGAAGGTGAAGAGGTCACAGTATTAGAGGAGAACAGGCAGTCTATCAGATGACATTGAACTGGTCGTCTCTCCTCCTCTTCCCTCTCTTCCTCTTCACCTCTATTCTCCCATCTCCCTCTGCCCCTTTTCATCTCCCATACTCTTCCTCTCCCCTCCCTCCCTCTCGCTCACCTATCCCTCTCACTCCTTCTCTCTCCCCTTCCTTCTTTTAGGATCTCATCCTCCTTTTCCTCAACCTATTTACTACCCCGCCCATCTATCCCTCTCTTCCTACTCCTCTCTCCCCTTCCTTCCCTCTCTCTTCCTCCTCTACCTGCCCCACCCACCCATCCCTCTCTCCCTCCTCCTCTCTGTGGCTGGCTGTATGTGTGTCCTGCTAAGCGGCCCCTGCTGTGGCCCTTGTCATGAGCTCTTTGTGTGGGTGTCTGCAGTCAAAGGGGCTGTTGTGGGCCCATTAAGCTGATCCCTCTGTGCTCTCAGGCTCTCCATTGAGAGGGCCCTGGGGAGTGTGCCACTGCACACGCCGTCAATGGGTCGGAGACAATGAGCTGCCCTGTGCTTGCATGGGTTAGTGTCTGGGCACGGGGCAGACGCTATATGGCTTCATTCACTCCGCTCCAGCCCCGCTCTCAGTCCACACCCAAACAACAGTGCCCAAGTCACTTCACTACTGCAGAGGGAAGATGGAATTAATTCACTTACTTCAGAATTAAGACAGACGAGCCATTGCAACTGAACATCAGGGTCCACCAAATCACCCCTGCTACCCAGATATTGTATCCAAATACTCACTGTATTACAACACAAGGGCCTAACTTACCCAAACAGTATACCTGAGGAGTTGGTAGTGGACAAAACAGAGGAGAGTGCCCTATTAAAAGACAATTTGGACCTGTGAGCTACGATGAGCTTTTCTGCATCATGGCCTGGCTTTCTGACCTTAGGTCATTAGGTTACCCAGGTATAACTCACTGGCACTGGCGACAACCGGATTTGTGCATCCCTGATTTAAAACGGTGTTTGTCTAAATCTGAAATCAGAAACTGAAATCAAATACTATGGCATTAGGTCAGGTTCTTTCCTTGTACTTCCACTGAATGTGGGTCATGTTGTTTCCAGTGTGTTGGTTCTTTAACAGTGTGGGCCATGCTGAGCGTTATCATAACTCCCAGCCAGTCAATCGTCTCTACAGAGGAGTGTCTATGGGGCTGGCTACGGGCTGGCTGGGTAGGGACAGGGAAACAATGGAAAGGGATAGAAATAGACTGCTCTTTACTTCCGAGAGCCTCACACACACCACCTGCCTGATACATAGACACACTCGCACACACACACACACAAGTACAACACATCGACAGCCTGGCTCGACCAGGACCTGCACTGTAAAACATTTATTGTAAAATGTACAGTAACTTACTGGCAGCAATTGACCAGTAAGTTACTGTAATTTATTTTACAGTACAGCTACTCTAATCCTTTTTATGGTAGCAAAAAATTTACCGTAATCTAATTTACAGTACCAAGTCAGTTACTGTAATCTAATTTACAGTACCGATTACAATGACAGAATATTACTGTAATTACCCAGTGACATATTACCCAGTGTTCTTTGTAAGTTTTTATTTTTACATTTACATTTTGGTCATTTAGCGGGTGCTCTTGTCCTTAGCAACTTACAGTTAGTGCATTCAACCAAGGTTGATAAGAAAAACACATCACAGTCATAGCAGGTAAAAAGCTTCTGTAACCGTTACTGAACATTTTGTAGTTATGGTCTTAAATGTTTTTTTAATTACAACAAGATATCTTATCTCTCTGACTATCTCTGGGTAGTGCCAAAATATTACTGCGATGTGTCACCAGGGGAGAGAGAGAAAGAGAGAGCGTGAGAGGGAAAGGGGGAGAAATAGAGAGAGAGAGAGAGAGAGCGATGAAGAGATTCAATTTCATTTGTGGTTGGGTGTGGTCCCGACATTATTTGAGTATCTGCGTCAGAGGAGCCTTTTTAAGAAATGTTGGCCCCGCATGCAGAACAGGATTAGATGGACGAGTTGAGTTAAAAACAAAGGGTCAAACAAAGCCTTGTTCTATTTTTTTCTGATCCTTATCACAGAAGGTTGCCTCAGTCAGTCATATCTATGCGACTGCTCACAGTGCCACTGAGTTGCATAACAAGGAAGTGTCTCCTTAACCACCCATGTGGTTTAAATCCCAGAAATGGACATTTCCATCATGGCATGTTGAATCCTGGTTAAGGAGCTACATCTTGTGGGAGGCCAGGCTAATCAGAGTGACAATGAGACATGTTTCAGGCTGCTTTTGTATTCCCAGACAAAGAAAAAAACTACATTCCAATATGTTTAACATCACTTAAAATGCATTTAAAATGAATGGAGACACATTTGCGTCTTTGCTAAAATGCATGTAATGCCTTAAAATGTATTCCAGGGATGCATGTACATACATTTGCATTGTTGCTCAAATGCATGTTATGCCTTAAAATGTGTACGGAGGGAACTGTCAAAATGCTGAATTTTAGCACTTTAGCAAGCCTCTGCGTAAAAACAGATTTCAAATCAAATCAAATCAAATTGTATTTGTCACATGCGCCGAATACAACAGGTGTAGACCTTACAGTGAAATGCTTACTTACAAGCCCTTAACCAACAATGCAGTTTTAAGGAAAATAAGTGTTAAGTAAAGAATAGATAAGTAAAAAAGAAAACATTAAAATAAATAACAAATAATTAAAGAGCAGCAGTAAAATAACAGTAGCAAGGCTATATACAGGGGGTACCGGTACAGAGTCAATGTGCGGTAGGCACAGGTTAGTCGAGGTAATTGAGGTAATATGTACATGTAGGTAGAGTTAAAGTGACTGTGCATAGATAATAAACAGAGAGTGGCAGTAGCGTAAAAGAGGGAGTGTGGGAACAATGCAAATAGTCCGGGTAGCCATTTGATTAGCTGTTCAGGTGTCTTATGGCTTGGGGGTAGAAGCTGTTAAGAAGCCTTTTGGACCTAGACTTGGTGCTCCGGTACCGCTTGCCGTGCGGTAGCAGAGAGAACAATCTATGACTAGGGTGGCTGGAGTCTTTGACAATTTTTAGGGCCTTCCTCTGACACCGCCTGGTATAGAGGTCCTGGATAGCAGGAAGCTTGGCCCCAGTGATGTACTGGGCTGTACGCACTACACTCTGTAGTGCCTTGCGGTCGGAGGCCGAGCAGTTGCCATACCAGGCAGTGATGCAACCAGTCAGGATGCTCTCGATGGTGCAGCTGTAGAACATTTTGAGGATCTGAGGACCCATGCCAAATCTTTTCAGTCTCCTGAGGGGCAATAGGCTTTGTCGTGCCCTCTTCACGACTGTCTTGAAAATATTATTGGATTTATTGAATTCTCCATGTGGTCTATATTAAAGGGTGCATCATTTAATAAAACAGGCTTTTAAAAATCAATATTGGTGCAAAGTGTCATTGTAGGGACAGTCATCATTTTGTTAAAATATGAATTGGCCAACTTTTTATATTTGCCAAATTTTCTCATTTTTACAAATACGTTTAAATGCATGTTAGAATAGATTTTAGTTTTCAAAACATTTCCAAATACATTTCCAAATAATTACTAAATATACCATAATTACATGTGAAAATATGTTCTCATTATTTCATTATAATAATTACATTTTCCAATGCATTTAACACTGTATATTGTGAAATACATTTTAGATACATTTATATATACATTTTCTATACATTACGTAAAATATGTTGGAATGTATTTAAAATGTATTAAATAAAAATACATTATTTGGCCAATTTTAAATATTTCTAAAAAAATATATTTCAAATGTATTTTTTCCCTGTATGGTTTGACATGCTTCGGTACCATAAATCCACCCAGGAATTCCTTATTGTCAGATCAATAGAGTGGCTTCGTCACCTAGCTCAACTCCTGCTCAACTCCCTGTGCAAACTGAGTTTACGTCCCAAATAGCACCCTATTCCCTATATAGTGCCAGGGCCCTGGTCAAAAGTAGTGCACTATATAGGGAATAGGGTGCCATTTGGGATGCAAATTGAAGCTCCAGTAGGCAGCTAGCTACCTGTGTCCTACCACTCTCCTGTCTGACTTGGTCTCAAGCTGACTCTTTGCTAATGGTTCAACAGAGATAAGTGTGGAATTACAGGTCTGTTGCTGGAACCTATAGTTTGGAGGGAGATGGAGTGAACAGTGGGGTGTAGTGTAGTCATACGGTTTGGTGTCACTGGTGCGGGTGGCGTTTTTGACTGGTGATGACGACGTGCACGTGGAACTGGAATTTAGACTTGACTTGACTGAAATGCTAGCTTTAAACACTAGATCTAAACAATAGAGCCCACATCCTCTCTATTACTCCCTGCCTGGGGCATTAACCTGGTAACCTGGTATTCACTATCACATTTCATAACAAGTTGTTCTTCCCTTGTGGTCTCTCAAATGTTGCATAAAAACGTTTTGTGAGAGAGAAAGAGACTGTGGGATAGACTGTATCAGGAGAAAGAGAGAGACTAGTGAATGAGATGGAGAAAAAAGGGAGGACTCCCATGGGAGGGAGTTCAATCCGTGATGGAAGCACAACTCCTATGAACAAACACACTCATCTTCCCCATCATCCAATCCTCCCCCTTTGCCTTTCCTTCCTCCTGAGTGCTCCATCCCTTTCTCCTCTCCCCTATGTTTGTTGAAGCTCCCTCTTCGCCTCCCTCTGTTTGGCCCAGCCCCTACTTGCCTGGTTGCCAAGCTCCTGTTGCTGTGCGAACTCTTAACTTCACGCCTGGTTTCCTGCCTGTTTCTACACAGTCACACAAGGTTTCACTTTTGAGCCCTGGAATCAGAATTGTCTCGCATTCCTCTTTTATTCATTCTTCTGCTTTGGGCTCTTTTTCAGTCATTCCACATTTCCACATACTTTTCCTCCATTATAACACATACACTTTTTAGCAGTTGTATGTGTTTTTAAGAGGTGAAAAGTGCTCTTGTACTCTCAAAAGCACTCACATACAACCCACATTCAGTCAAAAAACCATTGACAATGCATACTGTATGAACTTGTTATATCGTATATCTTTCATAACCATTACATCACAAAAATGTCAAATAGATTTTAAACAGTGAATGTAAACCCTCTTTGTTTGTGATTACACTGTGAGTCTGATTGACCCTGTATGTGTGTTTCTCTTATACAGCAACAGGAGCAGGACCCCACCAACCTGTACATCTCCAACCTGCCTGTGTCCATGGACGAACAGGAGCTGGAGAGCATGCTCAAGTCCTTCGGCCAGGTCATCTCCACACGCATCCTCCGCGACGCCAACGGGACCAGCCGTGGCGTGGGCTTCGCCAGGTACTTTATAGCAATAGCATGCTACACACTACTGGCCCGATTCCGACTTAGGAAATTATGCCTTTCTTACTCATGCCTTTCCTACTCACTTCTTAGTTGTTGGTATTCAGACTTACCTTATGAAGGTGCGTAACGGGCTTTGCAGGCGTGGTTCCCTTACGCATGCTGAATAAATGTAATTCAACCGCTGAAAACCCTCCCACTTGCTGGCCAACAGATTTTCTCATGCAATTTTCATTCAGTTGTGTTTTCAGTATATTTATCTTAAGCCATCCCTTTAAATACGGTGTACCTTTTAGTTAGAATTTTGTTGACAGACTCAGTAGAATATATCGAGAGAAGGGGTTCAGAATATTAGGGATTAATGAAAGAAAAATATATGCATATTCGACTCCGTTTCAGCACCATTTGGTAGATTAAAAGATACTTGGATCTTGTAGATTATTTAGGGTTAGGAAAGGATTTATGAATCATTAAAAAAACGGTTGGAGAGCCTTTACCCACGAAAAAAAACAGTGGTTTGATTCATTCTGAAAATTACCACATTCAGTTATTTAACCGATGGTAATGTTGGAAGATTAGTGTATATATAATTATAATAGGGAGAATAGTGTACAATAGTAGGCTATACCCTCTTCTATTGCCTGCACTAACCATTGAACTGTGCGATGACACAGCCAAGTATTGTGCCATGCGTCTGGTTCAAACCGTTATGGCTTGGTCTGCGCTCCACTGTATAATGATTTAATTAGCTTAAATCTCTTTTTTTTATATTATCAACTGTTACTAATGATAATCCGCAACAACCACATGGCCGTGACTGCGTTTACAGAGGAAGCAAATGAAGGTAAATGAAACAATGTAATGAAATGAAAAGATAATGTAGGCTATACCAACTGAAGGGAACTAACAGTAAATTGGCAGTTGAATGTGTTGTCATGAAGCCTACTGGCGGTCAATACTTATAGTGTCTAATATTTAACATGATAGAAATAGGAAACAGAGAAAGTCAAGGTAGCTTATAATTAAGACCTTTGAGAGTGCCCATCCCTTCATGTTAAAAGGCCGTACAATTTAAATTCTGCATAATGACACAGCATTTCATAAACTTTACTGTGGGAAAGTTGATATGCTTCAGTTTAGAAGGCTGCAGGTCCTGACAGAGATCATTGCAGAGCGGTCTTCATTTTTCATGCTGCGGGTGGGAGCGGGCGGTCAGACAGACTGTCACGCAGATTATTTGAAAACGGTTGTCTTTCTGCTTTGTATGCGTTAGCCTAGGCCTACCTATTGTATTAAAAGTACATTTTTGTCGCATTATTCACACTCAGAATTCACTGCTTCAACTTCAGTAGCCTACCTTTCCTCTCCTAGTTGGGCATGTGAGATCAAGTGCGTCTAGTGTACAGTATGTGTGGTCTCATTGAAATAAAGTATGTTGCCTATGCATGGGCGGAGAATCACTGGCAGTTATCTTTACAAGGAAATGTACTTCCTAAATATGATTAGGCTATAGTTTACTACATTACCTAGAAATAAATATTGATCATCCTTATTTGTCTCCGTCTGAAAATCGTCCCACTCCTAAAAGGTAGGTTATAAAAATAACTCAAGAGAAAGTACAAGTTTCTCCAACTCTGATCTCTTCAAACTACGCTTAGCATATTGGCTGATATAGCCCAGTAATACCGATAGGTTAATATAAGGGCCATGTGAGAATCTCTGGTAATTTAACCTCAGCTATTTGGGCGGGTGCGGTATGAAAAGCTGCGGGTGCGGGCGAGAGCAGGGTGAAGAAATCAGTTCTGTGCAGACCTTTACTTCAGTTTGCTGCCATATGACTGGTTTCACATTTGTCTCAAGCTATTATAAGGTCAAATATATCTAAAACAAGTGTAATTTATATTTACAATTCCCTTATCCAAACGGATTACTCATTTACCTAGCTCTTATCAATAGCTCATATCAAGTTGTAAATTACAGTGCATGGAGAATGGTGTAGAAGTAGATGCTTTTTCCACTTGGAAGCAGTAGGTTCGCTAGACCTTGTTCATGGTTTCCTGGCCCATTAGGGAATTAAGTCAAGGTCAGAATATGACGTATTTGTAGACACACCTCCACCACACCTTCATATATTCAATATCCACCCAAAACGAATAGCAAGTGAATAGCACGCAACCCCTTTGTTATGGCAAGCCTAAATAAGTTCAGGAGTAATAATTTGATTAACAGGTCACATAATAAGTTGCATGGACTCACTCTGTGTGCGATAATAGTGTTTAACATGATTTTTGAATGACTACCTCATCTCTGTACTCCACACATACAATTATCTGTAAGGACCCTCAGTCAAGCAGTGAATTTCAAACACAGATTTAACCACAAAGACCAGGAAAGTGTTCCAATGCCTCGCAAAGGAGGGCACCTATTGGTAGATAGGTAAAAAAATATCCCTTTGAGCATGGTGAAGTCATTAATGACACTTTGGATGTAAATAAATACACCTAGTCACTACAAAGATACAGGTGTCCTTCCTAACTCAGTTGCCGGAGAGGAAGGAAACCGCTCGGGGAATTGAACATGAGGCCAATGGTGACTTTAAACAGATACAGACTGTGATAGGAGAAAACTCAGGATGGATCAACAACATTGTAGTTACTCCACAATACTAACCTAAATGACAGAGAGAAAAGAAGGAAGCCTGTACAGAATAAAAATATTCCAAAACATGCATCCTGTTTGCAATAAGCCACTAAGGTAAAACTGCAAAAGAAATGTGGCAAAGAAATGAACTTTCTGTCCTGAATCCAAAGCGCTATGTTTGAGGCAAATCCAACACAACACATCACTGAGTACCACTCTTCATATTTTTAAGCATGGTGGTGGCTGCATCACGTTATGGGTATGCTTGTCATCGGCAAGAACTAGGGAGTTTTTTTAGGATAAAAAGAAAGAGAATAGAGCTAAGCACAGGCACAATTGTAGAAAACCTGGTTCAGTCTACTTTCCAACAGACACTGGGAGACAAATTCACCTTTCAGCAGGACAATGACCTAAAACCCAAGGTCAAATATACACTGGATTTGAATGTTCCTGAGTGGCCTAGTTACCGTTACTTAAATTGGCTTAAAAATATACGGCTGTCTAGCAATGGTCAAAAAGCAACGTGACAGAGATTTTAAATTTGTTTTACGAATAATGTGCAAATATTGTACAATCCAGGTGTGCAAAGCTCTTAAAGACTTACCCAGAAAGACTCACAGCTGTAATCGCTGCCAAAGGTGATTCTAACATGTATTGACTCAGGGGGTTGAGTCAATACAAGATATATTAGTGTTTTATTTTTCATACATTTTTACAAATGTTAGAATTTTTGTGTAGATCGTTGACAAAAAATGACAATTAAATACATTTTAATCCCTCTTTGTAACACAACAAAATGTGGAAAAAGTAGAGGGGTGCGCATACTTTCTGAAGGCACTGTACGCATAGAGAGAAAAGTGCATAAAAAGGAAAAAACGTTCCATTTACACACGCTTACCTCGTGTCGGAATTGGGCCCTACATGCTACACCAGCAGCAGCTTTAGCAACATGCTACATGCTACACCAATAGCTACATGCTACATGCTACACCAGTAGCTACAGCTACATGCTACATTAGGGTCGTTCCACGAAATGAGTGCCTTTTGATATTTTAAGTAGAAATTGTGCACAAATATAGCATTTTAAAAGCCTGTTCTCTTAAATGAAGTCCCCTTTTAGTACAGACCACATGGAATATTCTATAAATCAGATTATTTTATATGAAAAAAGACTTGCTATTGCTAATGACCCTCTGTGCATCCTCTGTGACTTCTAGGAAGATTTTAGCCCATTTAACCCCAACATCCCTCCAAGTGTTCACCATAATTGTAAAGCCCTAGTTATGTTGTTGCTTTGACAGTCATTTCTGAAGATTATTATTTATTTCACTTGATTAGTGATTCATTTTAAGGTAAAAAAAAAAAAACCTGTTCCCTCATTTTAAGGTCAACCCTGTTTTGTGAAATGAACTCTCGTTTTAATATGGTGAAACTATTCCTTTTAAAATAATTTATTCAAAAGAAACATTGAACATCTAATAGTCAAATCATAGTGTAAAGGCAGGTGAGCTGGTTCTGCTCTTTTTGGCAATTTTGTGGTGGAAAACCCTGTTACGGTCAACCCTGTTACTTTATTTGGCACTTAATAGGCACTTACTATAGTATATAAAAAAAAAGGAACCTCTTGAGATGGCAGAATATTAAAATTAGGTGAAAAAAAACACAACAATTGTCCAAGTTACACTACTCAAAAGGCACCTAATTGGTGGAATGATCCATTAGCAGCCATAGGTACATGCTATATCAGAGCAGCAACAGGGGTCACACCAGGGTCTCTCTGATTAATGGGCTTGCATGTTTGACTGTGTTTCAGGATGGAGTCCACAGAAAAGTGCGAAGCCATTATTCAACATTTTAATGGCAAATTTATTAAGACTCCACCGGGAGTTCCAGGTGAGCAGATCTCTCTACCTGTCTCATCTATGTGTTCTCCACCAAGCCCAGATGTTATGATACCACGTGATCCTCAGTCATTCACTTCAGATGGCAGATCGAGAGCCGTGTCCAGAAACAATCGCTATCCCCTACCCACTAAAAGCTTTTGGAGATCTGAGAGGATTGGACAGGCATAAGCAATATGGCAAAAACTTCCATCTGTCAGAGGGCAATGTGGAGATAACACCATATTGCTTAAACCTATTGAATCCTCTCAGATCTCCACAAGTATCTAGAGGTTAGGGGCTAGGGGTTTTGTCTGAACAGGGCCTTGGTCTCTGATCCCAGGCTCCTGGTTTCCCCCCTCAACTCTTCCAGTGGATTGTTATTCCTAGCCTCCTACAGAATTCACCCTCTGATTCCATCAGTTTCTCTCTCCCACAGTGCCCCCGGAACCATTATTGTGCAAGTTTGCAGACGGGGGACAGAAAAAGAGGCAGAACCAGGGAAAGTACCTTCAGAATGGCAGGCCCTGGGCAAGGGATGGAGAGACGGTGAGAGGCTTGATTTCACGGGTGGAGCCATTCATGAATTGCCTTTTTGGAATTAGAGACTGCATGTTGTTCTAAATAAGGTCATTGTTAAAGCAAGATAGAGCTGGAATCTGATCTCACAGAGATAGGGATTGTGTGGCTAACATAACTAAACATTCTATTTGTGCATATCTGTGATTATGTGACCTTTATGGCATTTTATTCTGAGTTCTTTGTGTTGTTTTCCCAGGGAGGGATGACTCTAGCATATGACCCAACAGCCTTACAGAATGGGTGAGTCCAGAGAGACAAAATCAGAAAGTCAGCCCACCAAAACAAACATCAGTCAGGATTTCTGTCCCTGGTAAACCGAGACACCTGGTGGAGGCAGGAGGCATTACACCACTAGTTTATTTTATTGCACTCATCTATTTCAATGTAACGTTTTGTAGTTTTATCTGAAAGGTCAATCATTTGGTAAGACTTTATAATAACTTTCATGGACAAGACATTATAAATTATTATTATTTATGCTTATTCATTTTAGAGTAAATCATTTGTAAAGATTTTTCTGACATGCATACGTCTTGATGTGTGTATGTTCTGCAGGTTCTATTCGTCACCCTACAGTCTGACCCCAAACCGGATGATCGCCCAGACATCCCTCTCTCCCTACATGCATTCACCCATCTCATCTTACCAGGTCAGACACAGAACACACACCGCCATCACCAAACCGCCATTCACAAACACATGAAGGAGGAAATCTCTGTAGCCATTGGAGCTATGTCATTGTCATTGTTATTTGTAATTCCCATTCGGATTCAGATTTAATCTCCACTCATTCTCCCCTGTGTGTTTGTGTGTAAAGATCCTGTGTTTTCCTCCTCTCTCTCTCCAGCTACATAGTCCCTCCTGGATGCACCAGTCGTACCTCATGCAGCCTGCAGTGAGTATTAAATAGTATTATCTACCTCTGCTGCTAAAGCTTCCTCTTACTATTCCCTCCACATCTGGTTAGCTTGCAGTTCTGCTCATCTATCTCTCTCTCTCTTCTTCTCTTTGTCATTCTGTCTCTATTTATATTCCTCTCTCTCTTTCTCTTCCCCTCTCTCCCTCTCTATCTCTATTTCTTGGCTTCCTGTCCTTCTCTTTTCTCTCTCCCTCCCTCTTAATCTGTCTTCCTCTCTCCACTTATCTCTGTCTCCACTCACCCTCTTTCTCTCCCTCCCTTTCCCTCTCTCCCAGGGCACAGTCCTGACTCCAACCATGGACCATGCCATGTCTATCCAGCCCACCTCCATGATGGGCCCCATGACCCAGCAGCTCAGCCACCTATCCCTGGGCAGCACAGGCACGGTTAGTACCCTACCGATACCCACTCCATCTCCCCCTCCACTTCCTTCAACAACCCACATATACTCACTCTACCCCCTCTGCTTTGGTCCCTTAGTCTCAGTTGAAAGTGAAAAGAAAAGCAGTTGCCTATGTCTCAGTTGCATGATGTTGTGAGGCCTGTTGACGTTGGATCTCTACACAGTAATAATGACTGATGGTTTCTTCTCTTCTCGTCCTGTCACAGTATATGCCTGCCAACACAACTATGCAGGGGACATACATCCCCCAGTACCAACCAGTGCCTCCCTCCAGTGTCCCTGTAGAGGTATGACCCGAACCAACACCATAAGCATTAACTATACAGAACTAATTCAAGGGATACTTCAGGATTTTGGCAATGAAGCCCTTTATTTACTTTATCTACTTCCCCAGTGTCAGATGAACTTGTGGATACCATTTGTATGTCTCTGCGTGCAGTTAGCGTTAGAGAAATTGCCTAGAGTTAGCACAATGACTGGAAGTCTATGGTAACCGATAGCATGCTAGTAGATATCATAGACTTCCTGTCATTGCGCTAACGCTAGTTAGCAGTGGCTCGCGAAACTACCTCTAACTTCCTTCATACTGGATGCAGAGACATAAAAATCCTGAAGTATCCCTTCAAGGGGATGACAAAGAGGTGTTTCTTTTACAAAAAACAAACAATTCCTTAAGCAGAGTTTTCAACTCAGGGACCTATTGCTACTGTTCCACTCCATTTCCTTCCTTTACTTGAAGGAGAACGGAGGACAACAGCAACAGGTTGCTATGGAGACACCTGCAGAACACACAAACTACTCCTACCAGCACACCAAGTGAAGCTAAGGTAGGATTATGTCAAACATCAGCTCTCCTGATGTAATAGATATATAGATATATATATATAGAGGTGAAAGCATTGGAAATGCTTTTGGCGGTTAACCTGCTTCTGTTTTGTGGGTGGCACTGTGTGCTGTTTTCGATGGATGGGTCCTGGCCTCTCAGGGCCTTAGGGATACGGAGGGACGTGGGGGGGATGCTGATCACTGGGATGACGGCTCAACTTGGGATGGGGAGGGGCTTTAGCGGGGGAATTAGTGGAGAACAATTGAAGGGTTACTCCGTAGCAATGCAAATATCACGGTACAGCTATATGGACACTCAATCATTACGCTATTTTTTATTGGTAAATTTACAAACATATATAATGATAAATAGACTTGAAACTTGTATCTCATTATGGTGTATGGTGAAATAAGTATAGCCAGTTATAATTGTAATGGCTTAGCTGATAATAACAAAAGAAGAACAATATTTACATGGCTCAAAGAGAAGGAATATAATATCTATTGTATACAGGAAACTCATTCAACAATTCGAGATGAAGTAGCGTGGAAAAAAGAATGGGGGGGGGAAATATACTTCTCCCATGGGCAAAGAAATTCAAAAGGGGTGATGATATTAATTAATAGTAATTTCGATCCGAATGTGCAAATTGTCCAAATAGATACGCAAGGTAGATGGATTATTTTAAATATGGTATTGGACAATAAACAGATATGGCTCATTAACCTTTACGGACCAAATAATGATGATCCACAATTCTTTGACAATATATATAATAAATTATCAAGCCTGCAAGCAACTCAAGACAATATTATTATGGTGGGGGATTATAATACTGTTTTAAATAGCTCAATGGACCGAAAAGGAAATCACACCACAAACAATCACCCACATGCTCTTAAGGAAATTGTGAATGTCATGGATACATTAGAACTAGTAGATATATGGAGGCTTAAATATGCTGATCTAGTGAGATATACATGGCGGAGACTGAATCAAGCTAGTCGTCTTGACTTCTTTCTTATCTCATTCTCGTTGGCACCAAAAGTAAAAAAAGTGTTGATAGGGGACAGAATGCGGTCGGACCATCATATAATAGGCATATACATTACTCTGACTTAATTTCCACGTGGGCGAGGATATTGGAAATTTAATCAAAGCCTATTAGATGATAATTTATTTATAATTAGAACAAAGGAATTTATAACTGACTTTTTCCAACATAACTTAGGTACAGCGAATCCCCTTATTGTATGGGACACCTTTAAATGTGCCTTTAGAGGCCATGCAATTCAGTACTCATCTCGAAAACAAAAGCAATTTAGGTCAAAAGAGTTTATACTAAGAAAGGAAATAGAAAGTCTAACAGAACAGATAGATGGCAATAAAAACTGTAACATAGAGGCTCAGAATAAATTAGAGGAAAAACAAAAAGAAATGGAAAAACTTATTCAAGAAAGATCAAGTGTAATATATTATAAAAATAAAGCAAACTGGATGGAATATGGGGAAAAATGCACAAAATTCTTTTTTAATCTTCAACATAGGAATGCTACCAAAAAGAACTTAATGAAACTGGTTACAATTGACGGAGTCACCCATAATTCACCTAATGATATTTTGAAGGAAGAAACAAAGTATTTTAAGCATATGTTTTCTTTTCAGTCGCCTCCATCTCCTCTAACTGAAGCTAATTGTAGAGATTTTTTTCCTATTGATAATGTCAAATTAACAGCCACACAGAAAGACTCATGTGAAGGTGAAATTACAGAGGAGGAACTTCTGGATGCAATTAAAGACTTTAAGTCCGGGAAAACTCCAGGGTTGGATGGCATACCAATCGAGGTATACCAAACCTTTTTTGAAATACTAAGAGGACCGTTATTAGCATGTTTTAACCACTCCTATGTAAATGGTAGATTATCTGACACTCAAGAAGAAGGTCTGATCTCATTATTACTGAAACAGGATACAAGTGGAAAATATAAAGATCCAGTCCATTTACAAAATTGGAGGCCCCTTACACTTCAGTGTTGTGATGCAAAAATCCTAGCAAAATGTATAGCGCATAGAATTAAAAAGGTATTGTCGGATATTATTCATTCTAATCAGACAGGTTTTTTACATGGAAGATACATTGGAGACAATATAAGGCAAGTATTGGAAACAATAGAACACTATGGAAAATATGGGAAACCAGGCCTGCTATTCATAGCAGACTTCGAAAAGGCATTTGATAAAGTTCGACTGGAATTCATATATAAATGCCTGGAGCATTTCAATTTTGGAGAATCTCTTATAAAATGGGTCAAAATCATGTATAGTAACCCTAGGTGTAAAATAGTAAATAATGGCTATTTCTCAGAAAGTTTCAAACTGTCAAGAGGAGTGAAACAAGGTTGTCCACTATCGGCATATCTATTTATTGTGGCCATCGAGATGTTAGCTATTAAAATCAGATCCAATAATAATATCAGAGGATTAGAAATACAGGGCTTAAAAACAAAGGTGTCATTGTACGCAGATGATTCATGTTTTCTTTTAGATCCACAACTAGAATCCCTCCACAGCCTCATAGAGGATCTAGATACATTTTCTAACCTCTCTGGATTAAAACCAAATTATGACAAATGTACTATATTACGTATTGGATCACTAAAAAATACAATTTTTACATTACCATGTAGTTTACCAATAAAATGGTCTGATGGTGATGTGGATATACTCGGAATACATATCCCAAAGGAAATAAATGATCTCACTTCAATAAATTTTAATAGAAAGTTAGCAAAAATAGATAAGATCTTACTACCATGGAAAGGAAAATACCTGTCAATTTGTGGAAAAATCACCCTGATTAACTCTTTAGTATTATCCCAGTTTACCTATTTGCTTATGGTCTTGCCTACGCCTAGCAAACAGTTTTTTTAAATATATGAGAAAAAAATATTCAATTTTATTTGGAACGGCAAGCCAGACAAAATTAAAAGAGCATATTTATATAATGAATATGAATTCGGAGGACAGAAATTATTAAATATTAAAGCATTAGACCTATCACTAAAATCTTCAGTCATCCAAAAGTTATACTTAAATCCGAACTGGTTCTCAAGCAAATTAGTAAGATTGTCTCACCCACTGTTCAAGAAAGGCCTTTTTCCCTTTATTCAGATTACAACCTCTCACTTTCAGTTATTTGAAAAGGAAATAATCTCCCAAATGTCACTATTTCTAAAACAAGCCATAGAAAGTTGGTTACAATTTCAATTTAATCCTCCAGAAACGACAGAACAAATAATGCAACAAATATTGTGGTTAAATTCAAATATACTAATTGACAAAAAACCTATATTTATTGACAGAATGTTTAAAAAAGGTATAATCTTCGTAAATGATATCATCGGTAGGACTGGTGGAGTTATGTCGCACATGCAGCTAATAAAAACATATGGAAATGTCTGCTCTACCCAAAATTACAACCAAATAATTGCAGCCATACCGCAAAAGTGGAAGAGGAAAGTTGAAGGGGGAGAAAGTAAGGAACTTGTCTGTCGGCCTTGCATTAAAGAACATAATTGGTTAAGGAAAACTGTGATAAATAAAAAAGTATATCAGTTTCACTTAAGGACCAAAGGATTGACAGCAGTCCCATATAGATTGCAAAATAGTTGGGAAGAGATCTTTGACGTACCGATCCCATGGCATAGTGTTTATGAACTGACACGCAAAACGACACCGGATTCAAAAATTAGAATCTTTCAATTTAAATTATTATATAAAATTCTTGCTACCAATAGAATGTTATTTATATGGGGGATACAATCTTCCCAGCTCTGCAGATTTTGCTGTGAAGAGATAGAATCATTAGATCATTTGTTTTGGTTCTGTCCATTTGTAGCTTGTTTTTGGACACAGGTCCAGGAATGGCTAAAGGATTGCAATATTTACCTGGAACTAACCTTGCAGATAGCATTACTGGGTGATCTGAAAAGTCATAGTCAATCAATCAATAATATAATAATACTTTTAGCAAAAATGTTTATTTTTAATTCACAATCTGTAGAAGCAATGAGAATAGAAAGGTTCAGAACTTTTGTAAAACATCACAGTATGGTTGAAATATATATGGCAAATAGAAATCCTATATGGATGGTGTTAAGAGATAGATGGGAGGTATTGAATAGAGTTGAAGGATGGGACTAATAACAAATAACAACAAATAATAACAAAGATAGCTAATAATGTAAGCATACTGTGTCCATAATAAGTATATAGGTTGTATGTTGGGAGCTTTTGGGAAGGAGCACAGTTAGAAAGATATGGCATTTAGAGGCAAACCGGATGGACATCATGAAGATGATCGGAGAGGTTGAGAGTAGAAGAAGTTCAGGAGAAAAAAATTAAATAGATGTGTATATGTATATGTATGTATATATGTATATATATATATATATATATATATATATATGTATATGTGTGTGTGTGTGTATGTATGTATATATATATATATATATAGATATAGAATTATTGTAAAATTAACTCTGTCCATAAGGTGTAGATAGTGAGTATGGACCGGAAGTAGAGGCCTGGGCGTTGTTGTTCACTAATTTACTCCAAGTAGGGAAAGGATGGTGGGGTTGAAAAGTAATAAAGGGGAATATATATATATATAAAAAATAAAATAAAAATATGGGGGATTGGAAGTGATGCAGACAATTACATTGATAGAAGATACAATCTATCTGCAATATTAAGCTGATCCTTCCCCCCCCAAAAAAAAAAAAAAAAAAAAAAAAAAAAAAAAAAAAAAAAAAACATCAGCTCTCCTGTGCCCTACTTAAGGCATGGAAGACACTTTTAATTAAGTTTTAAGCTGCAACACCTCTCTGTGCATATACATTTAAGTCATTTAGCAGACGCTCTTATCCAGAGTGACTTACATCAGCAATTAGGGTTAAGATTTTTCACCTAGTCGGCTCAGGGATTAGAACCAGCGACCTTTCGGTTACTGGCACTACGCTCTTACCCACTAAGCTACCTGCCGCCCTATATACAGAGGGGTCCGAAATTATTGATACTCTTGATAAAGATGAGCAATAATCACTGTGTAAAATAAATAAGTCCAATACTGAGCTACATTGTATGCTCAAAAAATGGGGAAATTTATATTTTATACTAATACAATTTATCAGAGAAAGAGATTTTGTTTAACAAGTAATATATTTTTTTCTCAAAAGGTAGGGGTAAAAATGATTGACACCTCTAAAGATTCTTAGAAATAAAGTAGTCAAAAGTTTGATCCCATTTTCCTTTCATACAATATAGCTCAGTATTTGAATTATTTACTTTATACAGTCATTATTGATCAAGGGTGTTAATCATTTCGGACCCCACTGTATTTGCTACCTTAGTTTCAGTGTACATTACTACTTATATCCAGCTCCATGTCAGAACATTGCATGCAGGAGCCAATTTGTTAGTTCACTAAAAAAAAAAAGCGTGTCAGATATTGACCACCATCAAGAAAAACATTTATTTCTGAGTTAATTTATTGATCAGTATTCTGGAAATATACTGATTTACACAGATAAATTATGATATGGAAAGTATGTAGACTTGTTACATCTATTATGTAAAAGGTGTAGTGTGACAGAGGTATGTGTGTGTGTGTTGCAGCTCGTGGTCAGGAGGCCATCTTGTTGACTGAACCACAGAGGGTTGCTTCTCAATAAGAGGATAACAGAGCTCTACACATCAACACCAAGCACCGGACTTGAACACCGTTGACAAAAGGAACACGTGTGTGCTTTGAAAAATAAGTTGACACGCTTATTTTGTCTGGACATTTCCTCTCTCTTCTTCAAGAGTCAATCAACCAAAGGTGGGAGCCTTCTGCAATGGAAACTTTGATCTCTTTTGATAACTGAAAAAAAGAAACAAGAAAGTTGAACAAAGAAACAAATTAGGAAAGGGGGAAAAGACACAGAACGTTATTTTTGTCCACGTAATATAACAAATTCTTATTTTTTTAGAAGCATTCTGGAGTTTCAGAGTGATACAAGGAAAATAATTACAACACAATGTGTCTTTTTTATTTTTGGGTAAAATATGCTAACTTTAATTTTAACATTTTTATGTCTGTTTTTTGAAATTCTGTTCACAGCAGTTTGACAATATTTTGTACATAAAAATAATAATAATACACATTTAGTTTGTTTAATGTTTCTGGTGTAGGATACTTTTAAGTACGGAAAATGCAAAACAAACCGTTTAAAGCTACTTCTCCCTAAAACTAATCCAGTAAGGCTAAGTTCAGTTAACTCACTGGCAGATGGTCACATTAATTATTTATAGATTATTTAAAATCAAGTCAAACTTAAACCTTATAAAGCATTCACTTATAAACACTCAGAATGTGTTATGAGCAGAGGACAATCATGATCATTCTTATTTATATGTACATCATAGTTCTATTTTTAGATATTTAGTAATTTTCAAACATGTCAATTGCTTTTATGTACATTTTATTTAATGAAATTCTTTATTTAACAAATCTGGTAAATGCCAAACACTGGCAATAAACATGATACCACTTAGAAAATAATTCATACTTGTTAAATAGGAGCTACATTATTCAAAAATATTTTTTTTTTTTTTTTTTTTTTTAGGGTGTCATGTAATATGACACATCCAAATGTCACCTTCTGTCTCTAAAAACTTGAGACAAAATGAATTGTTACAATATTATTTTCAACATTTAGTAAATTAATTACTATTACTATACTATACAATAACAAGGTCCTCCCTCTACCTTCAAAGGTAAAGTAAGACATTATTACCTACAGTACATTTATTCAATGAAATTATTATTGGATTCATAGATAATATAATAAATATTATACAAAATAGTTGACCTGGTTTGTGCTAGGGTCCATGTCACACCAGTGTCCATAAGAAGTGGTTTTAAGCGGTTTTGTTCTGGTAGCTGTTCAGATGTCTATAGGGAATTTCACCTTTTGTACAAAGTAGACAAACAAATAAGTGGACATGCCTTAGTTTTGAAATATGTATACAAAATAGTGCAAAATAGCTAAAACAAATAAATTAAAAAGCAAAGCAATGAGGGGAGAAGTAGGACTAAGAAGAGTCCTTAAGAGTCCTTTATTGTTGAGAAAGGGAGCTGCAAGTCTTTCTCAATGCTGCTGTTGTCTCCTGAGTTTTAATTCCTGACTGTCAATGAATTTGATTACATTTTTTTGTAGAAAGAAGTAAAGTATGTTTTCTCTCTTTTGGGCTTTCACTTGAACCCTTCTGAGCTGTCATGCCTTTTGTTGTCATTGATGTTGTAAAACGTTGTTTTTGATTTATTTTATTTTCAAAGTAATTTAGATTTTAGCAGTAGGGAAAAAGTTTAGATTTTAGCTTTTTTCTTTTATAAGAGATTCATAGGAATTTTTTATTGTGTTGTTGAGTTTGTGCATTTGCACATGGTCCATGCAAACTAAGAGATGATTTTATGTTTCTTCATGTTCATTTCCGTTCCAGAGCACTGTGTTGTTCACTCTGATATTGTTTTTCAGGCCTGTGTGAAATAGGCTTCAACTAAAACACGTCCACGTCTATCCTAGAGACACTCAATGAAACTCTATGACAACCTTGCCCACCAGCCCAGATCAATCCAGTGGAGATGTACATCTAGTCTAGTGTAAACTCATTCCGTTGTATCTGTCAGAGAAAATGAGGATGTTATCCAGAAAACACCTAACATAATATGAAAGTGCCGGTTAAAACTGTTCCATAACAAACTGTTCCACAGAAGTTAACTAAACCTTGGATGAATTGTTTCTTGTTTCAACAAAGACAAAAATGCATAAACTTGGCGGATTTCGTTAGGAATTCAGACCAAAGTGTTTCTAAGCCTTAACTGTAACCAGGCAGATCAGCCCTATTTAAGAAGGGGGAAGCCTCTTTCTCCTCATTGAAGGCTATTCTGTTTCAGTTATGGTTGAGGGTATGGTCAAGAAAATATCATACTGATGCCATCAATATCAGATGTTGCCATAATATTATAAAGGACTGAGTTTAACCATGCCTTGTTAAAACCTAGTGTTACCCTAGTAAACATCCCCCCATCACACTGGATCTTGGGTTTTTGTCATTTTTCAGTATTAATTACATCATATATACTGTTTCTTCTTCCTTGTCTATCTCTATACCTCGCTCTTCACCCTACAAAACGTTGTTAATGATTTATTTATGTCTGCAACACCAAAGATGATGAAGCCATCCACCTGTCAGCAAAGCTGTCTGTCAGAGTATCAGTCTTGGAGAACATGCCTTTCTCACCCATATTGGCATACATAGCTAAAGTAATGCTATAGTAACATCTTCGCAAAGTGGCAGTTCCCTGGTAAGTGGTGAACAAGCAATATGTTTCCTTTAGGTTCTGAATAAATGTATTGTTGAATAGAGATCCATAGATATGTGCTTCATTTATCGACATATGCTTGTTTCGGTTTGGGACATCCAGATGAAGACCAGTATATGGTACTGTAATTTTAATACAGAGAACAGAGCAATGGGTCTACTTTGGTTTTTTAGTGTTGATGATGAGAGCTCAGCATTTATCTATCTTTCTGTAAATATTAGGACTATTTTCTGCTCTTTTTTTGGTTGAGCTCATGTCAAGACCATTGTTTGTTCCTGTTTCCACTTCTGTTGATGTGAGTGTTTTGTTGATGTCTTGTGAGCTGTCCAGATAATACAAAAGCGATTACTTACATGTTTTCAGATCCAGTGCACCTCATGAAGGAAAATGTCATGGTTTTATTTTCTATTGTAATAAACTGATAGTCCATGTATCAGCCATCACTTTAAATATGAAAAAATGTGGTTTTGAAATTATGAAATGTTACACTTCAGTCTTGTTCATTGAATCAGTTTTTCAGATTTGACAACTTGCTTATTGCAGTTTTATGGGGGGAGCAAATAATGATATGACACTCAATTCCTTGTGAGCATGTAGTACTAGTCAGGTAATCCATTGTGTTATGATGAATTGTGTTAAAGTGATCCAAAATCTATTATTTGTCAGTTGTCTTCAGACCTCAAAAGCGGTATAATGTCCATCTGTTCTGTAGATCGAAATTTCGATTTTGGAGTAAACTCTCACTTTAAGTTACAACTAACTACAATTACCTGTAAATCATTGTCTGAGAGAGCACATTTGAGGCTATTGTATGTTTCCTTGGTGCGTACCTTTGACAGGTATCTTATAATACCAAGGAATACGAGCAAAAACAAGATGTGCAACAAAGGTTTCACTTGCACTTATTTTCAATCCATGTTTATGTAAAGTAAAACCCTAATACCTTGTATTCTCCTGTCCTCGCTTGTTGTCCAGATCATATGGCTTATTTCATAGTTTCTAAATGTTTTGCTGCTAAAATGGGATGTCCGAGCAGTGGATAGATGGGAGCCACAGTGGATGTTTAAAAAGGTCTTACTTTAACCTAGAAATCAATAGTAGATCAGATTCAAGTATAGTTAACATTAACAAATTATAAAACTACATTTGAGATACATTTTGTGAAAGTTGTACTCTTTGAGTCGTTTTGTAATCTCTTGGGTAAATCGCCAAAAATCGGACATTTTCAACATACAACTGTCTCATCTCTCTCACTGCTTGTAAACATTTTCCTTATTTATATAAGAACTCATTTTGTACAGTTTATTAGAGGAGAGAGGTTTTGATATTTGGTTAGTTTGCCAGTTAGCTGGCTAGCCACTTGGCTATTTCCGTCTTCCTGTGCCAGAGTTGCTCAAGTCTCTGTAACTCTTGTTTTTCATTCATTTAAAAAAAACATTTACTTTCTTTCTTTGTTTTACTCTTTGAATTTGAATATGTCAATGTTCTTTTTTAATTATTTTATTTTTATTTTTTATGGCTGTATCTGTGTTCCAAAAGGTTATTACCTAAATTCTTAGAATACAATTGAAAGAAAGACAAGTCAGTTACATAAATTCCAAGTTTATTTTAGTGTTGAGCAAATCGTATTATGTTTGTCAATGTGGTACATATACATTTTTCAATGTGGTAACCAAAGTGTTTGATATCCATTGAAAAGGTGCAAGCTCCTTTCTCTTTGGCTGATCATAGTAACTTCCAAACATAATTTTTTTGACCAAGCCTTGACATTGTAATAATGATACTGCATTCAAAAGGCTATACATTAACCTCACAGAGAAGTCACAATAGAACTTGCAACTGATAAACCAATTGTAGGATCTAATATGATCGTTAATTACACTTCTTCCCTTTTGATTTTAAGTCATTCTGTATGTATCTGGGTATGTATCTGTGTAGCTAAATGTGAATAAAAGCAATCCGTACAAGATATAGAGCCTTCATGCCCATATAGAAACTACTCTAACCACATTGTAGTTTGGAAAATATTGTTTATTTCTAAGAAACAAAACAAAAATTAAACATTACACTGCTGATCTTGTCAAACTATCTTTCCATACCTGGAACCTTTGCAATGTATTTGATCCAGATCAGAATCTGTAAAAATTGACAAAATAACTGACAATAAAATGTAATCTAGCAAACATATCTGAAGATACTCTGTCATATCAAAACTATAATTAAGACAATTAAACTCAACCCTGCTGAGTGCCAAAGGTTTCCTGAATCAATGTGATAGTTTAGGAAAACAGGAAAGAGGTATATTTACAGAAAGATAGCATGCTTTAAAGATACAGTATCAATGGTAACGTGTTTTCTTTGAGCTGAGTTGATGACAGACGAGCTAGAAATAGGTTTCCCTGAAGTCTAGAAATAACAATAAGTTCAAGTATTATACTGTCTTAGTATTAGCTCAGTGTCATCAACATTCTGTGACTCAAAATGTTAATGCTGTTTATCATTATGTGCTTTCGTATCCAAAATGTTATAATACAGAGCAGTAGACAAACACACTACAAGTGCCCTTTTAAGTAATGGCCAGATTTGTTTTTTCCCCCAAAGCTGACCTGCTCTCCTACTGTTCTAGGTTCTAGGTATTAACTCACCATAAATAAGGTGAGGTATGCAATCTCGGTACCCAGAACCAAATATTGCGTGTTCTCTGGCCAGCTACTCAATTTAAAGGTAAACAGCCTGTCAGGACGAGAGACTATGGAACGTGAGAAATATCCTATTTTTTTATCACAGAAGAGCCAGGGTTGTTTGAGAAGACAGAAATGAAATAAGCTCTTAAAGACGTCCTCCAGCAATTTTTGAACTTTTACTGTTGAAAAGCGAAATCCCAAGTATAAATACAGTAAAGTACACACAATAAAGGGTAAAAAAAAAATGTTTTGAGAAAAATAGTGTTTTTTAAACATAACTGCAAACTTCAAGGAAGTAGGACATTCAAGGAGTTGGTCTGATGGGAATTAGTGATGTCATCAGCCTCCCCCTTGCTTGAAGAAAAATAGAGGCGCAATAGTGAACAAAAGAGGAAGGCCCTCTCCCCCCCGGGTGTTAAATGAGGTGAAAAGTAGACTGGAGTGCCACTTTAAGTTCTAAGGTTGAGGGAGATTGGGCTGAGGGAGTGTAGAGAGCCAAAACACCCATGTGGTCTAAATGAGAAATAGACAGACATCTAGTTTGATAGATGTTTTTATGTTTCCCAACAGATTGAGAGACAGACGGGTAGACATACTAATTAGTCGCGGCCCCCTCCAAAACATGACAGTAGGAAGCTGAACAGGTATACTATGTCCAGGTAGAGGTTCAGGGTGGCAAAGACGTACTCCTCTGGACTCATAGTGTAGCGCTTGTTGCCTATCAGCAGCTGGGTATCAAATGCCAGAAACTAAGAGAGAAAGAGAGAGTGGGGGAGGAGGGTGGGGGGTGGGGGGGAGAGAGGGAGATGTTGAGATCAAACCATTTCGCTACAGACTGCAACCTAATGATTAGGGCCAGGAATTTGTCCTGACCATGTGACCTTGACCAAGAAAAACTCTGGGCCTTCCCAATGATGAATGCGTGTTGAATATTTGCCACTCACCAGAGTGAAGAGGATAGCTCCTATCACAGCGTAGATGGCTTGTAACCAGGGCACCTGTGGCGGACGGTAAGAATTTTATCAAACAGCGCTAAGGAGGATAGGCCACTTATTTAGGAAAGACACTGGCTTATAATCATCTCACAAGACTAAAGGGATAGTTTGGGATTTTGGTAATGAAGCCCTTTATCTACTTCCCCAGAGTCAGATTAACTAGTCGATACCATTTTAATGTATCTGTGTCCAGTATGCAGGAAGCTCGCAAAATTACCTCTAACTTCCTGCATAATGGGTGCAGAGACGTAAAAAATTATATCCACGAGTTCATCTGACTCTGGGAAAGAAGATACCGGGATTCATTGCCAAAATCCCGAACTATCCCTTTAAGAGAATACCCAAGACTAATCATTCTTGTACTTGTTAGTATGCTACCCACCCAAATGGGGCGAGTGAGGGCCAAAAGCCTTACCGTCACTCTATATATAAACTCACTATCAGAGTCACTCACAACTATGCTTATCTCCTTCTGGAAAGGTACACATGCTCATTACACCATCATGTGACCTAATTGTCCTTATTTACAGTGTCAACTGTTAATGGAAGCTAAGCAGGCAGACGGGCTACTTACATATCCAAAGGGGATGACGATGGAGAGTATGATGCAACAGAACAGCATGACCATAGTCAGGACAAACAGGACTCCCTGGTAGGAGGTGAAGTCAATCTACAGTAGGAAACAAGGGAGAGAGAATAGGGATGTGTTGTTAAAATGCACACATGATCTATCTGATTGTAGCATATATACATTTTGTCAAAAGTCTGCACTAATACATAGGGGTAGGTGTTTTTCCTGGTCAGGTCATGTGGTTAAGTAAAACTCCTGGCCCTAGTGATAGGAAGCTGAACAGGTATAATATGTCCAGGTAGAGGTTGAGAGCTTCAAGTTCCTTGGTGTCCACATCACCAACAAACTATCATGGTCCAAACACACCAAGACAGTCGTGAAGAGGGCACGACAAAACCTATTCCCCCTAAGGAGACTGAAAAGATTTGGCATGGGTCCTCAGATCCTCAAAAAGTTCTACAGCTGCACAATTGAGAGCATCCTGACTGTTTGCATCACCGCCTGGTATGGCAACTGCTTGGCCTCCGACCGCAAGGCACTACAGAGGGTAGTGCGTACGGCCCAGTACATCACTGGGGCCAAGCTTCCTGCCATCCAGGACCTTATACCAGGCGGTGTCAGAGGAAGGCCCTAAAAATTATCAAAGACTCCAGCCACCCTAGTCATAGACTGTTCTCTCTGCTACCGCACGGCAAGCGGTACCGGAGCGCCAAGTCTAGGTCCAAAAGGCTTCTTAACAGCTTCTACCCCCAAGCCATAAGACTCCTGAACAGCTAATCATGGCTACCCGGACTATTTGCATTGCCACCCCCCACTCACCCCACCCCAACCCCCTCTTTTACGCTGCTGCTACTCTGTTTATTATTTATGCATAGTCCCTTTAACTCTACCCACATGTACATATTACCTCAATTACCTCGACTAACCGGTGCCCCCGCACATTGACTCTGTACCGTTACCCCCTGTATATAACCTCTCTACTGTTATTTTATTTTACTGCTGCTCTTTAATTATTTGCTATTTTTATTTATGTTTTCTTAAACTGCATTGTTGGTTATGGGCTTGTAAGTAAGCATTTCACTGTAATGTCTACACCTGTTGTTTTCTGCGCATGTGGCAAATACAATTTGATTTGACATACTAATTTAATTCATGACTATTTACATTATTTGTATGTTTTTGTTTCAATGAGTAGGAAGCTTGTGTGGAGATTGGGGTCATTTTTCTCACCTTGGTCTGGAAGCTGAAGATGGTGACAGACATACACACCAGAGCAGTGATTCCTAGACACAGGACCACAGACTTGGTGTTGTAGAAGCTGGAGAAACAGAGTAGAGGCAGATGTTGATTAATCCATCAATCATTCATCCGACCCATCCTTTGTAGATGTTGATAGATGTGTTAATTCATTCTTATCTTCATAAATAATTGATGTCAACATTTGAGCCCCTAACTAACTCGGTTGAATGCAGTCAGTTGTGCAACTGACTGGGTATCCCCCCCCCCCCCCACACACACACATTAAACACAAGTCATTTACCTGGACACAAAGCCCATCATGCAGGCCAGGCTGAGAGTCTGAGAGCAGACAGAGCAGAGTCAATCAGGTGCACAGACAGGCAGGGAGAGTATTGGGTACATGCTATTCTCTCTATTTGTTTAATATTTGTTACTCATCATACTCACAAAGAGAGCCAGCAGAACAAGGTTCCAGGGAAACTGTCTCCTATTATAGAGATACAGAGAATTCAGGTTGGTGAATACACTCTATAATATTGCAAGTTACCATTTACTATGGATGATCACAACCATAACCTATGAATAATGTTATAAATACCTTACGGTGTTATACACCTGCTTAATGTGTAATAAGTGTTGGTGTTCATGCATATTAAAACTACATTCACTATTTGATTTATTGAACATCTGTTTTTTGACATGACTGTCAATATTTTATGTAAGTGCTGTGTACTACCCAGATTGTAATTTTCATAGGAGCGAAACTCTTACCTGATTTGTTCACCACAGCAGTTCAATGCGATGTAGGTGGCCAAGAACATCATGCTGTCGAAAAGCAAAAAGAAACCAGTTCATTATTAACACAATTACATAGCTGAATCCCAAATCACCCCCTTCCCCTTGCCCCTCAGCCCACCATTTGCGCGTTCACGCGCGCCTCCGCCATATGCACAAGTCTCCCAAACCTGAGGGAGTGGAAATCATGGACGGTGTAGGGGCTAATAGGCGATATGCACAGGCGAGCATGACGTATTTCCGGTTAAATCTCAGGATGGATGTAAACTTCCGGTTATCGTAGAATGCTGTGCTACCGTATGCTAGCATTGAATGCTTGTCGTCAAAAACATCCAAAATGGTTAATTTTCGTCGTTGTTGTTGTTTATCTTAATGTTTATGTTCATGTTTTTACTTGTAATACTTCGTCTTGACTTATAACACGATGACGTGTAAACGTACGAAAGTGTCCTTTCAAAAACGGGATGACAGCTCTTCCAGCCATCACTGCTGTGTGCCGCAATGTACAGTGTCTGCCAGATGCAATTCTTCTGTTAGTTTTTTTACTTTTCCCAAAGACAGTGAATTACATAAACGGTGGGTGATTAACATTCGACAATTCAACTTTCTTACAACAAACACACGAGTCTGCAGCCGACACTTTCTAAGTGAAGATGTGATAGAGCCTCCAACTCCAGCTGGGCGCAGACGTCTGAAGAAGGGAGCTGTTCCAGTGCTGTTTCAATGGAACAATTTCAGTCTTCCAGCCCCAAGGCCCGGAGTTTGGGAAAGGACCGAGCGTACCAACACAGAAACCATGAATGATCCATCTGTGGAATTGGACTGTCCTCCTGACCATGACTACTGCAACAGTACTGAACCTGCTGCGCTGGATATGTCCCTTGACCACAATTAAGAACTTAGTGTAGAGATAGCAAGGCTCCGAAATCAAATTGAGGAGATAACTATCAGCAGCAAGTTCTGCTTGGAGTGGTTTGCTGGATCTGATGATGACATAAGGTTTTTCACAAGGTAAATTAAAATGTCCAATGTGTTTAATATATAGGCCTATGCATTTGAGCTGTCAACAATGACTAGTATTATTATCTGTTTAAATGTTGCATGTGTGATGTGTGTTGTTGTAAGCTACTGGAAACCTTGAATTTCCCTCGGGATGAGTAAAGTATCTATCTAAAACTATCTAGATCTAGGCTAATTGTATTTTAAAATACTGAGAAGAGCAGTAAGCAAAAGGACTGACGTGTGCGTGGTCCAGTTTCTGACCTTAGTGCCAAATGTTCTAAGATGTTGTATAACTGTCAATAAGGATGCTAACATGCTTGCAATTTAATGTTGTGTATGGACACTTAACATATAGAAATGTAACACGTATGTCCCACAGGTTTGCAAGTCATGCCCACCTGATGGCCTTTTTGAAGCAGATAGAGCCAGCCACCTGCAAGATCATACGGGTGACTATACTTTGTATCATTTTAATACTGGTATTGAAATGATACAAACCATTGTTTGTGGTTTATGCCACTTCTGCTCTGTTTCAGTGCACGAAAGTACAGGAGGGACGACAGACATGCCACATTCAGAGTAATGGGCAGTCTGATATAGTAATGCAACCAAATGATTGCATATCCCACACCCAGCCACACAGGAACAGTAGCTTTTAACAAGCACAACTGGCTGTGAATCACGCAATGTCATCTGAAATACACAGAAGCATAATTTAATGGGTTTTGAAAGACGAGGGTCTACAGCAGCAGGAGTAGGAGCAAAACTTGTTCTTTCTACTTGTGTAAGCAACTTATCTACTGTCTCGTGTCACTTTTGTGCTTTCTGCATCACTTTCCTACTGTCTTGCACCACTTGGCTATACTGTCTCCCACCACTTACCTATTGTCTTGTGCCATTTACCTACCTTCAAACAGTATTGGCAGAGCAGTAGGTGAGTGGTGCAACATTGTAGCCTAGTACCAATAACAACAGTAGAGTGAAGGTTTTGCTCCTAATTCCTCTTGAAAAGTAGAAACATCAAGTACAAAAGCAAGGAAGTTGGGCCATATGTTTATAAAGAAAGAAGTAAAGATGACAGGACAGTTTTGAATAGAACATCAGCAGTTTGAAGAATAGCTGAGTGGAATATGTTACTGTCATTGCAGTCATCAAGTCAGGAAAAAGTAGTAATCTCATTATTGTTTACATTTCAAACCAAACTCCAATTTGTTTACAACAGACCCAACAACAAAGCATGGCAATTCCCACTCAGCTACCCTGGTCTGTATTAGGCTACCACTGTTCAGCTATCATGAAAACCACTAAAATTCTAAAGTGTTCTCTTAGCAATGGCAATCAAAGCTGTGGTAACATTAAACGAGTAAAACATGTGTTGAACGGAACCTTGAACGAGTTCAACAGAACTTTGAACGTGTCACTTAATCTAGTCCTACTCTCAGCTGGTGTGGTGGCTTTAGTTTCTTCATTGAGCGGTAGCAGTGGGCTCTCACAGAGATCTCATTTGTAGCCCTGTTTTTACCTGATACTTTCATAAAAGTACAAACACATTAAGTGAGAGGTATATACACATGATTAAACTTTATTTAAAGCATGATTAACCTGAAGCAGGACGGAGACATGACTTAAAACACCAAAGCAAGGCTTCTAGCTCAGGCTAGCTAGCGTTAGCATATTACCTTCAAAGTTGCAAAGAAAATAAGAAACGTAAAATTTGAAGCCTTTATCCAGTTTGCTACGTGGTGTCGTACTGGATGTCTGGATGACCCTCCGTATATCATTTAACAGATACTTTAGGCAACTCCAGCAAACACCTTGTAAACTTCATCTCTGCCATCATAACGGTCTACTGTCACTGTCTAATGTTTTTTTCCGGTAACCGGAAATGCCCAAGCATCCTTACGCCAATGCGGAAGTGATGCGTGCATAGAGCCTATTGGTAGTCTGGCTAACACCTAATTCGAAGTCCTCCTGATTTCAGAGTCTGGAAAGGCTGTTTTGATGTTGTTGGCATGATGCATCGATAATGAAGGGTGCAGTGCTTTTACTGGTTGGTTCTCCTCTGTGTCTTTCTCACAAAAACACCCACCGGCACTAGTGATGTTCGGGTTGACTCATAACAGGCAAGAAGCAGAGATGAAAGAGGAAAGACAAAGCTAACTTTACCAGTGTCAACTAGACTGAAGAATTCATTCTATTGATTTATTACAAGTTGACTAACAAATAGCCTACCATATGTCGGAAATTATAAGGAGAAACATAGGCCTATCTAAAAAGGCCTGTCAAAATATCGTTCCGCCATCTGACTGTACAGCGCATTTTTTATATTTGCAGGTTAGGGTCGGGTGCGGGACTCAGATTTTCACTTTATCACATATAGTCGGCGGTTGCAGATGGGTTATTAGCAATTGCGGGCAGCTGCGGGAGAACAAACAGCTGACCTGCACATCACTAACATGCACAACCACACAGCCCCAGCGCAATGCCCCCTTCCATTACAATGGTTGGATTTGAAAATCCAAACAACCAGAGGTCTCAACCCCCGAGGAAAAAAATATGTAAGAGAGAACCAATCAATGTGTCGGCTCAACTTCTGAGAGAATACTGCATTTACAAAGGCCTCCTGTCCAGACCATTGTGTGACAGCTCTCCCGGTGCTGTGAGTCACGTCAGCCAGGCTAATTAGACCCTCGGATATCACTTCAACCGAGTCAGCGACGCTAAAGATTGTCTATTATATTGACAAGATATTTGAGTGACCGCTCTAACAATGGAAATACATGTCCTCAAAGAGGGAATGCAGGTGGGACTCCAATATAAAGTCGTTTTGGGGTAAGTTGCGGAAATGCCACGTGCGTCCACGTAATATCCTAACCATTATGAAACTTATATTAGATCAAATAAGCCTCACGTAGCAAATTAGCAATTACATTTTTTGTTGACGAAATTCGACACTCATTGACCTCCATAGGAAAAACTCCTCACTTCGTCAGTAAAACGTCTCGCTTCGCCTCTTCCTCTCTGGCTAAGCTGCAGGCTTCAGAGCTAAGTAGTATCCCATAACGCAGCAATTTCTTTTTGAATTTGCGCTATTTCACACAAAATAATGGAGGCTTGTATTTCTTTGTGTCTGATTTAGAGTAATATGAAATGCATCCCTAATTAAATACTGTTACTGAGGTTTATATCTTGTAAAACGACAGGGGGGATTTTCTTATTTGAATGTCATGCTAATTGTATTATTTAAATGTGTAACATGAATTGCATCATTCAAGTCTCGAAGTGTGTCCCAAAATAGATGGGTTTATTTGATCCCCTCACCAATCTTGAAGTCACCCTCAGTTTCGTCAGCAACACGTGACAACGGAGGGCCCTGCAAGCGAGTTGGTAGGGGTGAGGGGCTGGTTTGGGATTCACTGTGTAGGTGAGGAAAGGTCAGGACATGTCAATCAAGATGTTAGTTGTCACTTACTAGGAGCACATGTACAGGTGGGGGTGTGTCTGAATGTAGAACCTCACTGGTGCACTGTGGAGAAATGAGAGTGTTACGCTCATGTTCATCAAATGTATTGAATATTTATATTTTGGATATATTTACAATGTATTGGATATGATACATACCAGAATGTGAAGAGCGCAACAATGGCCACAGTCACAAAGAGTTGGATCATCAGGATGGCATAGACCTATAAGGATCCAGAGGAGGAATAAGAGGGGCCGGCCCAGATACACCCTCAAAATACTATACTACATGCTAGATCATGCATTTAAACATGGGTCGCATGCTTAGAAAAGTCTGTGTAGCTCAGTTACAGTAATATCATTATCTGGATCATATTCATTTGCCTACACCATGGCAAAACATTTTGCAACCGAAAACGAAAACAAGTGTTTCTTATAAATTCAGGTTGTCCCTCCCTGTTTTAGTACCTTTCTGATGAAGATCCTCCTGACGGCCTGGTCATCCCAGGAGAACTGGGTTTGTATCTCCTCATAATCTGACAGGAAGGAAGACCGAGGGTTAAACATCTTGTTAAAACAGCAGATGTGTAAAGATTCAACCCTGACATTTACATTTTACATCATTTAGCAGACGCTCTTATCCAGACACTCTTATCAAGGGCACATTGGCAGATTTTTCACCTAGTCAGCTCGGGGTTCGAACCAGCAACCTTTCGGTTACTGGCCCAACAGTCTTAACCGCTAGACTACCTGCCACACTGGTTACATCACACGCTACAATGTAGGCGGCAGGTAGCCTGGCGGGTAGGAGCATTGGGCCAGTAACCGAAAGGTTGCTGGATCGAATTCCCGAGCTGACAAGTTAAAGATCTGTCCTGAGCAAGGCAGTTAACCCACTGTTCCCCGGGCGCCGATGACGTGGATGTCGATTAAGGCAGCCCCCCTCACCTCTCTGATTCAGAGGGGTTGGGTTAAATGCGGAAGACACATTTTAGTTGAATGCATTCAGTTGTACAACTGATTAGGTATCCCCCTTTCCTGCCCATTTGTCTTTGTTCTATAGTAAGGTGGTTGTGTGTGGGTTGGTGTGCATCCGGGTGTAGAAGAAGAAGACCACTGCATACTGTAGCCATAAAGGTGTCCATTGATAGAAGAGGATGAGATATTCCTGTGTAACTGACTAGTTGAGATACAAAGACGTTTTGTTATTACCTGCAGTAGCCTCTTCATAGCTGGGTGGGTATTCTTTGCCTGTCCTTGGAGTCACCTTAGGATATGGTAAGATACACAAATGATCAGAGATACCAGTCTATATACAGTGAGCTCCAAAAGTATTGCGACAGGGACAATTTTGTTGTTGTTTTGGCTCTGTACTCCAGCACTTTGGATTTGAAATGATATGCACAAATATCATACCCCCCCCAAAAAAATGCTAACCTCCCCTGTTATTGTAATGGTGAGAGGTCAGCATGTCTTGGGGTATGATATTTGTGTGTTTGTAACTTTGTCACTCATCATTATTCACGATTCATTCAGGATTATCCGTAATCATGGTGGCATCCACATTTATGTAGAAGAGTTTAGAAACATATTCTATTCTTATTTACAATAAAAGTGGCTCCACAAGCTTGATGTAGTCATTGCGTACTATGAATATGGGACCAAGTACTTTTTACTACTTTTAATACACATAAGTGAATTTGTCTCAATACTTTTGGTCCCCTAAAATGGGGGGACTATGTCCAAGAAGTGCTGTAATTTCTAAACGGTTCACCCGATATGGATGAAAATACCCTCAAATTAAAGCCGACAGTCTGCGCTTTAACCTCGTAGTCATTGTTTCATTTAAAATGCTGGAGTACAGAGCCAAAACAACAACAACATTTTCCCTGTCCCAATACTTTTGGAGCTCACTGTATGTAGTATCAAACTGAAATACACTTTTAATAAACACTTCACTCGTACAGGGCCGGCTCGCCCTGTACACAGATCACGCGCTATAATAAAAAAATATATAATAATTATGGAAGACACACTTAGGCTATGGATGGATGAAAGTTTGACAGTGCATGTGCAGTTTTCCTCTTATGTCAGTCACTGAGTGACAATAGGCAGGTTTCCATTGACCCAGGTTTATTTGACAAAAGCAATGCCGCAAAAGAAAATCTGATATAGGAGACATTTTCTAAAGATCGACAACATTTTTATCTATCCCACAGGGGTGTATTTTTCTTTTATCTAACTTTCTTTATTGCGACAAATGTTGATGGAAACTGTTTTTCTAATAAATTATGGTTGCCGAATAATTGTGAAGGTACGCAGGGCATGTGATGTCATCACGTAACTATAAAACGCCGCTCCATATTTCATTCTAAATTACTACTGCTTGCATAATTTCTTTTTCAACTAGAACAATTATGTTTCTTTGCAGGACAAGGATTGTCCTGACTTTCAAGAATGCCTGAATTGCTTCGCCTTGCTTTTCTGATTGCTTTCTCAACCTACATGAGACATGAAACATAGGTGGGAGGGCATACAGGCTGTCACCAATTTATTAATGCGCAATTTACCTAAATGGGTAATGGAAACACTGTAGGTTTTTGCAAAAAATGTATTTTTTAGGTGTGACATCATTACATCCAGCAGTTTTTATCGACATGAGATAGTTAAATGGAAACGCACTGTAGCAGGCAATTGTTACATCCATTTTCTACGCAAACTTTCTAAACATTGACAAAAAATCTCTGGACAAGTTAATCGAAACATACCTAGGTATAGCCATGAAGCATGGCTTGAAATTAACTAATGTTCTATCGAGTCATGTTTTGGGTCGTGAGGTGGGAGGGGCTCCAATCAAATCTCGCTTGGGGCCCCCAAAAGGCTAGAGCCGGCCCTGCACTCTTATAACATAAAACTCACTTCATCCAACTCAACTTCTTTCAACTCAACTTCCTTTTGCTGCTATAAGACAAAATGGGCAAGTGAAGGATAACAGGTGAAGGATAAACAATTTATAAAATTGCTATATTCTATTCTATGCATGATTCTATTCATGCATTCTACTCCTTGTGATCTACTGATAATCCAGATAGGCTACACGTAGAGGCCTGTATCAGTGTAAACAAGCCTCCATGTTTCATCAGTGTTTAGGATAGGATAAGGATTAGGATACTCTCAGTAGACAGCCATCTTAGTTTGGTCGACATATAGGGCGTGTTCCTCTGCCCAGGCGTTGGTGACGCTTGCCAGATCTTACCACGCCTGGATAGGTATTTTACATATCAGCTAACCACATCATATGTTATAGCAATCTGGTGCCCGACGGCACAGTCGATGACGTGGCACGGAACTATTGGTTGATGCATGCAACGTCTGAGCAGGGGAACGTGACCAGAGACTAGTGGACAGTGAATGAGCATAACATTTAAGAAATAGATAAATATTTGTCCGTATAGTCTATGATGATTATTCTATAGTATATCAGAGAGAAAACCACATATGTCTGGAATTGGAAATTTAGAACAACAATCAATTTCTGTTCACATCAGCTTTGAAATGGTAATTTTATAAAAGAGAGAAATCTTTACCTTTCCCTTAGTCATATTTGTGTCTTTTTGGATCCCTTTAGTGTTGAATTGCTGCTGTTTATGGTGTTGTTATCCTTGTTCTTATGATGTTAATGGCTTGTCAACCTCAGTAGATTTCCTTCTATATTATAAAGCTCCTTTTTGTCTCTTCTTTTAATTTTTGTATCCCTTGTGTATTTTTTCTGTCCTTTTCTTTCAGCAGTGGTACAGTAGAAGAGAGAGATTGAACTTGTTCTTACAGTGGCTGTGCTGAATCTGTCGTCACTGTGCAGATTACACCATCAAAGCTCTATATAGAGCACCATTAGGAGGTTAATCCCTCTCCAACCCTGATCCCATTTACCCCCCTATCTCTGCCCTAATGAGGCCGTTCTCGCAACATCCAGGTAAGGCTTCAGCATTGGGACGTGCAGGAATGTACCACTGCCTCAACCAAAAAAGGGGTGGTTGATCTGCTTGTTGTAACCCTGACATACGCATTTCCCAAAGGGCTTCAGAGCAATTAGGAGGCCCAGACCAGTACATTGAGTGATCATCTGATGATCCAGACAGGGGGAACGGGGTTGCATATCTGAATTACATATGTTTTATATAACATACCCCCATAGTAGAATTACAGTAGCAGGAAAGGGAGCTCTGCCAGTCAAAACACATAATCCAAATCTATTTTTATAATACACTTTATAAACCTTTTATAATATCATCAATAATATCCACCTCTGTCTTTCCCTGCCTGACTCTCCCCTACCTCACTCCCTCTATCTAGACCAGCAGTCCCCAACCAATTTCACGATTCCGTGAATAGAGCTGAACATTCTGACCATTATTTCATAGAACTTCTTTTTACAATCAACCATGTATATTTTTTTTATATACACTACCGTTCAAAGGTTTGGGGTCACTTAGAAATGTCCTTGTTTTCGAAAGAAAAGCAATTTTTTTGTCCATTAAATTAACATCAAATTGATCAGAAATACAGTGTAGACATTGTTAATATTGTAAATGGCTATTGTAGCTGGAAACGGCTGATTTTTAATGGAATATCTACATAGGCGTACAGAGGCCCATTATCAGCAACCATCAGTCCTGTGTTCCAATGGCACGTTGTGTTTGCTAATCCAAGTTTATCATTTTAAAAGGCTAATTGATCATAAAAAACCATTTTGCAATTATGTTAGCACAGCTGAAAACTGTTGTACTGATTAAAGAAGCAAAAAACTGGCCTTCTTGAGACTAGTTGAGTATCTGGAGCATCAGCAATTGTGGGTTCGATTACAGGCTCAAAATGGCCAGAAACAAATAACTTTCTTCTGAAACTCGTCAGTCTATTCTTGTTCTGAGAAATGACAGCTATTCCATGCAAGAAATTGCCAAGAAACTGAAGATCTCGTACAACGCTGTGTACTACTCCCTTCACAGAACAGCGCAAACTGGCTCTAACCAGAATAGAAAGAGGAGTGGGAGGCCCCGGTGCACAACTGAGCAAGAGGACAAATACATTAGTGTCTAGTTTGAGAAACAGACGCCTCACAGGTCCTCAACTGGCAGCTTCATTAAATAGTACCCGCAAAACACCAGTCTCAACGTCAACAGTGAAGATGCGACTCCGGGATGCTGACCTTCTAGGCAGAGTTGCAAAGAAAAAGCCATATCTCAGACTGGCCAATAAAAATAAAAGATTAAGATGGGCAAAAGAACACAGACACTGGACAGAGGAAGATTGGAAAAAAGTGTTATGGACAGACGAATCGAAGTTTGAGGTGTTCGGATCACAAAGAAGAACATTTGTGAGACGCAGACCAAATGAAAAGATGCTGGAGGAGTGCTTGATGCCATCTGTCAAGCATGGTGGAGGCAATGTGATGGTCTGGGGGTGCTTTGGTGGTGGTACAGTGGGAGATTTGTACAGGGTAAAGGGGATCTTGAAGAAGGAAGGCTATCACTCCATTTTACAACGCCATACCCTGTGGAAGGCGCTTGATTGGAGCCAATTTCCTCCTACAACAGGACAATGACCCAAAGCACAGCTCCAAACTATGCAATAACTATTTAGGGAAGAAGCAGTCAGCTGGTATTCTGTCTATAATGGAGTGGCCAGCACAGTCACCAGATCTCAAACCTATTGAGCTGTTGTGGGACCAGCTTGACCATATGGTACATAATAAGTGCCCATCAAGCCAATCCAACTTGTGTGAAGCATGGGTTGAAATCTCTTCAGAAAACCTCAACAAATTGACAACTAGAATGCCAAAGGTCTGCACGGCTGTAATTTCTGCAAATGGAGGATTCTTTGGCGAAAGCAAAGTTTGAAGGACACAATTATTATTTCAATTAAAAATCATTATTTCTAACCTTGTCAATGACTACATTTCCTATTCATTTTGCTATATTTCCTATTCAAACTAATTTCATGTATGTTTTCATGGAAAACAAGGACATTTCTAAGTGACCCCAAACTTTTGAACAGTAGTGTATATAACCCGTTAAATTGATAGGAAAAACACAGCTCGTGAACCAGTGATATCGTGCCTTTGTGTAAGACTAGTTTAGTAACAGCCAGGTAGGTTTAATAAGATAAAGGTTAAGAACATTATTGACCCAAGACGACCCACATATAGAATCATACTGGGATCTATCTGAAACCTTTGATCTAGTGCTGGAACATACATTTCTACAGAATTTAAAAACTCTTATCTAACCTCTGGTGTCTCTATTCCACTTTCATCGCACAGTATCGAGATGGAAAACATCAGTCAACAACAATATGGTTAAATCCCTCTCTGCTCTCCTGGTTTCTCTGAAGGCTTGTGGCTCCGGTATGACATAGCTTGACTGAAACTAGGAAAGCAGACAAGGCTTTCGTTTCTCACAGTTATGTCTGTATCTGGTTGTCTTTCCTAGTCCTTGGTTGCCATCATTGTGCTTTATTTCTTTGGCAATCATAAGATCCATATCCAGTTGAAGTTGGAAGTTTACAAACACTTAGGTTGGAGTCATTAAAACTCGTTTTTCAACCACTCCACAAATTTCTTGTTAACAAACTATAGTTTTGGCAAGTTGGTTAGGACATCTACTTTGTGCATGACACAAGTAATCTTTCCAATAATTGTTTACAGACAGATTATTTCACTTATAATTCACTGTACCACAATTCCAGTGGGTCAGAAGTTTACATACACTAAGTTGACTGTGCCTTTAAATAGCTTGGAAAATTCCAGAAAATGATGTCATGGCATTAGAAGCTTCTGATAGGCTAATTGACATCATTTGAGTCAATTGAAGGTGTACCTGTGGATGTATTTCAAGGCCTACCTTCAAACTCAGTGCCTCTTTGCTTGACATCATGGAAAAATCAAAAGAAATCAGCCAAGACCGCAGAAATTTTTTTTAGACCTCCACAAGTCTGGTTCATCCTTGGGAGCAATTTCCAAACGCCTGAAGGTACCACGTTCATCTGTACAAACAATAGTACGCAAGTATAAACACCATGGGACCACGCAGCCGTCATACCGCTCAGGAAGGAGACATGTTCTGTCTCCTAGAAATGAACGTACTTTGGTGCGAAAAGTGGAAATCAATCCCAGAACAACAGCAAAGGACCTTGTGAAGATGCTGGAGGAAACATGTACAAAAGTATCTATATCCACAGTAAAACGAGTCCTATATCGACATAACCTGAAAGGCCGCTCAGCAAGGAAGAAGCCACTGCTCCAAAACCACCATAAAAAAGCCAGACTATGGTTTGCAACTGCAGATGGGGACAAAGATCATACTTTTTTGAGAAATGTCCTCTGGTCTGATGAAACAAAAATATAACTGTTTGGCCATAATGACCATCGTTATGTTTGGACATTGGTCGCAAATGGGTCTTCCAAATGGACAATGACCCCAAGCATACTTCCAATGTTGTGGCAAAATGGCTTAAGGACAACAAAGTCAAGGTATTGGAGTGGCCATCACAAAGCCTGACCTCAATCCTATAGAACATTTGTGGGCAGAACTGAAAAAGCGTGTGCGAGCAAGGAGGGCTACAAACCTGACTTAATTACACCAGCTCTGTCAGGAGGAATGGGCCAAAATTCACCCAACGTATTATCACGATCGTCTAAGGAGGAGGACCAAGGCGCAGCGTTGAAGGCAAACATATTCTTTATTTAATAAATGATCACACGATCAAAACGAAACCGTGACGTCCCTGGTTACATACACCAACCAACACGGAACAAGAAACCACAAATAATGAATGCCTAACGGCTACCTAAGTATGACTCCCAATCAGAGACAACGAGCTACAGCCGTCTCTGATTGGGAGCCACCCTGGCCAACATAGATATACAACAACTAGAACATAAACAAATGAAAACTCACACCCTGGCTCAACATACTAGAGTCCCCGGAGCCAGGGCGTGACACGTATTATGGGAAGCTTGTGGAAAGCTACCCAAAACGTTTGACCCAAGTTAAACAATTTAAAGGCAATGCTACCAAATACTAATTGAGTGTATGTAAACTTCTGACCCACTGGGAATGTGATGAAAGAAATAAAAGCTGAAATAAATCATTCTCTTTACTATTATTCTGACATTTCACATTCTTAAAATAAAGTGGGAATCCTAACTGACCTAAGACAGGGAATTTTTACTAGGATTAAATGTCAGGAATTGTGAAAAACTGAGTTTAAATATATTTGGCTAAGGTGTATGTAAACTTCCGACTTCAACTGTATTAACAACAAACCGGGCACCATCTCAGCCCTAGCTAAACTTGTCAGATGCCTAGATAACATCAGGGCATGGATGAAAGAGAACTTCCTCCAGCTGATCAGCAGTAAGACTGAGGCTATGCTTATTGGGACACCCAAGCAGGTCACCAGTGCTGGAAACCTCTGCCCTACAATTGACGGTCAAGCCACCCATCTGTCCTCATCTCCAACCTGGGAGTCAAGTTTGATCCATCTCTGTCCTTTGATGCCCATATCAAACTATCTGCAAAATATCGGCTCAAACCATCGCACTCCCAGCCAGATGCAGAGAAACTCATCCACGCCTTCATCTTCTCCCAGATCGACTATGGCAATGCTCTGTTCGGGGACCTTCCAGCCAAATCACTTCAGAGGCTACAACTTCTCCAGAATAGTGCTGCCAGTCCTGACCAGGACCAAGAAGTCAGCCGACATCACACCCATCCTTGCTGAACTCCACTAGCTACCGATCAACTATAGGATTGACTTTAAAATCCTCCTCCTAGTATTTAAAGCCTTG